TATTCACTTCTTAAAAGATTGTTTTTCAGACACCCCGCTTTATTTAACTTTCGTAAATAACATTCGCCATTTATAAACAATCAGACCAATCAGAGCGAGTGTTACAATAGCCTGGTTCTCGCTTGCAAGGAGCCCTTGCTCGCCTGTATCTGTGGCGCTGCAGGAGGGCAGATAGACTCGCTCTGATTGGTCTGATTGTTTGTAAATGGCGAATGTTATTTACGAAAGTTAAATGAAGCGCTGTGTCTGAAAAACAATCTTGTGATAACAAACTGCATCTGTTCTCCTAACTCCAGTTTTTATTACACAGCCAATGAACACCAGAATCAGAGTGTGAAGCGAGTATGCAAGGGTAGAAATTAACTTTTGAACAAGCGAGTCCAACGGCCTTCCTACCCTCAGAAAGAGGGAGTCCGTAGCAAAATGAGGGAGTCCGCAGTCTGAAGTTCAACACTAAAATATTAACAAAAAGGACATTTGCGGTGCACGTCTGACAAATTTTCTTGGGACGTTTGCTAAAATAATATGGTAATTCCACAAGGCTGTGCCCTGGAACGAACTAGTTAGTGGCACAACTAATTACTAATATTAACTAATTATTCTTTAGGTGATCTCGGAGGAGTGTGAGAAGATACCGGACGACGAAAACACTGTCTAGCCTCGCAATTAGGGGTTCTATCAATTAATTGTTCTTCAGGTGATCTCGGAGCAGCTTTAGAAGGTACCGGATGACGGAAACACTTTCTAGCCTCGCAAATATCCATCTAAGGAGTTCTATAGACTAATTGTTCCTCAGGTGATCTCGAGGGAAGCTTGAGAAGGTACCGGACGAGGAAAACACTCTGTTTAGCCTCACAACTATCCAGCGTGCAGGCTAACTGGTTCCATCGACTAATTGTTCTTTAGGTGATCTCGGAGGAGCATGAGAATCTACCGGACGACCTGCAGCGAGTGCCCGTGCCCGACCGCTTCATAGAGGAGGTCACGACGAAGTTCGTCGACGACGTCAGCGTGCCGATCAGTGACATCGTCGTGTGGATCGATCCGCTGGATGCTACGCAAGAGTATACGGGTAAAGGGAAGAGCAGCGCGGATGCTTGACGCAGTAACCTCCCATTAACACCATGTTTTCTAGAAAAAATACGGTAATTCCATGAGGCCATGCTCTGGAATGAACTAGTTAGTATGGCAGAATTTTCAGGGAGTCACACGGACTCCTGCATATGTCAAATCAGGGAGCCCGGCTGTAAATCAGGGAGTATTTGACTCCGGACTCCCGTTAATTTCGCATCCTGCTTCGATTAGTATTGTATTCCGGACTCCCGTTAACGCTCGTCGTACACCTTTTAATTAGTATTGTATTCCGGACTCCCATTAACACTCGTCGTACACCCTTCGATTAGTATTGTATTCCGGACTCCAATTAACGGTCACCGTACACCCTTTGATTAGTATTGTATTCCAGATTGAAAACACGCTGCAGTATAGATTCTGTAATGGCTATAGCAGAAAATTCCACAGAACCCTAACCGTCACCCTTAATTTTGTAACCTTATCCCCGAGAGTCATCCCAACCCTGACCCTAATCGATGACTGCTGACTTTACACTCCAGCCTGGAAGCCAATCCTCGTAACGTTTTCACATCTGCGTCCTCTTAGACGTCGCTGCTACCATTTATTTTGTATTTTTATTATCATTTATATTTATTTTTTAGAAAACCTGCTCCACTACGTCACTACGATGGTGTGCGTTGCGGTGAAGGGAGAACCGGTGCTGGGAGTCATCCACCAGCCGTTCGAGAAATACACGGGTACGGCGGCAACGTTGCGACTGTCTCATGCTACCATGAAGCTCAGAGTAATGAACGAAATGGGATGAGCGAAGACAGTGCTAATTATCTCATGAGACGAATTTACTGCTTTGTTAGGCACGTTGCGCTAGATTAATTATTAATTAATTTATTGCTAATTAGACATGTCTTACTCGCGGCCACGACTTTCCTTTATCAATGATTTGACCTCCAAACGGCTGTGTTTGCTCCGTAACTCACGTCTAGAAACCAGCGAGTCCGGCACGTGGCCTTGTAGTGTTATATCTCTCACCTCAACATGTGATATATCACCATGCGTATGCATAGCAATCAGCACCTTCCTCTTGCCATCAGCAGGATCACGTAGCAAGCTGAACCAGAGTAGCTGAAATAAATATGCAGTGACACCCTGCACCCTGACAAATGTGTTTTGTCAGGTGAGAGAGTATGGGAGAAAGAAGAAGTGTATAGGCGGGAGGGAGAGAGGAAGGGGGAGAAAGAAGAGGGAGAGGAAGAGGGAAAGGGGTGAGAGGGAGGGCGAGAGGGAGGGAGAACGATAAAATAAGAGCGAGAGAGAGAGAGAGAGAGAGAGAGAGAGAGAGAGAGAGAGAGAGAGAGAGAGAGAGAGAGAGAGAGAGAGAGAGAGAGCAGAGAGAGGAAGAGAGAGAAGAGAGACAGAGAATGCCAAGAGAGAGAGAGAGAGAGAAGAGAGAGAGAGAGGAACACGCGGAGAGACGGGAGAGGCTGGAGAGAAAGTGCAGACGCGCAGAGAAAGAAGAGAGAGAAAGCGGAGAGAGAGAAGAAGAGAGAAAAGCCAGAGAGAGAAGAGAGATGAGAGAGAGAGAGAAAGCCAGAGAGAGAGAGAGAGAGAGAGAGAGAGAGAGAGCGAGAGAGAGAGAAAGAATAGATACTATTTAATTGAGGCAACATAAACTTTAGCAAACAACAACAGTAACTGTAGAGAGTTTACGTGTTGTAGCTTGGGGCTGGGTGGACCATGGCCACTCTGACAAGCTCAGCATACAGCAGTCGACAGCTGATGGCATCAAGATCATCGCATCTAGAGCGCACCAGGGAACCGTCAACGAGACAGCGATAAAGGCATTCGGTCCCACCACACAAGTTATTCCAGCGGGCGGAGCAGGTGAAGTTGAAGTTGGCCAGCTGTTTAGTTTGTCGAAAATAATCGATCGCAAAGTGTGTGTGCCAACACGTAGACTATTCTGAGGATTTCTATAGCAACCGCTGTTTTCGTAATCGACGCATCCCTTTGCACGCGAGTAAAATAACTCCGGTAATATCATTTTGATTTTCTTTTGTCATTTTATCTACCAGATTATCTACTATTGAAATACCTGGTTGCAGCACTTCGAACGAGAAGTTATTAAAGGGAATATAATCTTTTTGTTTTGCGTCATCTCAGTGGCAGTGTACATGACTCAACGACACCGTTCGCACGGGTCGTTAATTGTCCGTCTGTTGATGGATTTCCGTCTTGATAAAAATTCAGAAAGTTTTTTTTACATTTATTTTAAAAGTGAATTGCATCTAGTGATCTTAACTAAGTGTTTTATCCAAGTTTTTATGTTACAAATTAAATAGATTGTAGTATTTTCAAAATTTCTATCTTGTCAGGGAATTTCACCAAATGTGTTATATAGTGCACAGAATCCATAGCTTCGCGGAGCCTCAGACCCCCCACTGGACCCAATTTTCTTCAGTCCCCAATTTATTTTTGATTGACACCCATGCGTCTGCGATCAGGTTACAAGACGCTGCAGGTGATACAAGGCAATGCAGACGCGTACCTGCACACGACGCTCATCAAGAAGTGGGACATCTGCGCGGGCGCGGCGTTGCTGAAGTCGGTCGGGGGAACAATGACGACTCGGGCGGGCGCAACGATCGACTTCTCGGCTGCCGGCAGTTCGAAGAACGACGGCGGCTTGCTGGCGACGCTGCATGACCACGACCTCTTCCTCACCAAGCTGACTGCCGCCGCCGCCGCCGCGTGAGACCCTGCCTCACCCCTGCCTCGTCGCGTGAGACCCTGCCTCACCCCTGCCTCGCCGCGTGAGACCCTGCCTCACCCCTGCCTCGTCGCGTGAGACCCTGCCTCACCCCTGCCTCGTCGCGTGAGACCCTGCCTCACCCCTGCCTCGTCGCGTGAGACCCTGCCTCACCCCTGCCTCGCCGCGTGAGACCCTGCCTCACCCCTGCCTCGTCGCGTGAGACC